TGGCCGGTTCACTTTTGGACAATGCAGTTCCGCTAAACCAAATTCACACCAAGTCATCAACCCAACCGACTGGCGGGGTTTGGAGCGTTTGACGACGTTTTGCAGCGATGCATTGTGAAACGGCCGTCGGCCGCTCTCAGGTGCGGCTGTGTGTATGTTCTTCTCTTTTTTTGGCCGCGTCGGATGTTTTAAAGCAAGAGCAGTCATGGATGGCATTAAATAAAGACATTTTCTCAACTGAACTCACCGCCCCACACACAGGAAGAGAGGCGTGAGAGAACCGCAGTCACTGCCGGCTTTGGCTTTTCCCTCACACGTGGCATTCCGCGCATGCATGATTGAGAGCTCGCCACCTACTCCCCCCTTTTATTATGTCATAGCTAGCCGATACGGGTCAAGAAAGTAACAAAGAATATTAAGAACATTTTTTTACAGAGGACATTGATCACGGCAGTCCATCTAGTGGGAAGGAGAAAAGAGTAACCTCTGACGTCTGTGTTTATTCGGGCAACTCTCGTCCCAGTCGTCATGAGCAATCTCCGGCTTTAAAAATCCAGCTTGTCGAAGGATCTGCCCTCGACTGATCTCTTACATATATTCCGATTTTTAAACAACGATGGATGTTTCCGGGTAAAACTAAATTTGATCAGCTGAATGCAAGCCCCGGACAGAGGCAGACAGCACGCTAAAACTGACTATTTTATTGAACTTTGGAATAGAGCAAACACACCACGCATTACCTATCAGAGCCAAGTTGTATTTTTTAAGTTTGGTTGATATGAGTGAAAACTATCGAAGATGATGGGATAGATAAATGGCAAAGTCCAGAAAAATAAACGGCCAGAAATTTACTAATACCAAAAACAGTTAGAGCCTGGATCTATTGCCAACGTTAATGAATCCGTACGTAGGCGTTGATCAGTAATTGTCCCCGGGAATCAATTGTAATCGGTTGGTTTTGGCTGGTTTTATTGTGCGTAGATCAAAGGTAAATACATTAGAAATATAACAGAAGGAGGTCCCAGAGTCAGAGACTGGAACGGGACCTCCTGTTAATGGTAGCAATAATAATAAAACAAATTTACAGCAGTCAGAATAGAAAATAAATTATAACATGAATAAGTGAAACACAGAACTAATTGCAGTGATATAAAATGAACAAAATAACAGTAAGTTAAACACTCTGTGAGGAGTGTCTGGCGAAGGACTATGCCAGGCGCACGTGCCGCGCACGTGCCGCGAGAGGACGAACACGGAATGGGAAAGACGACGAGGACGGACCGGGGGAACGTGCAGTTAGGTTCTGGGATTAAGGACGGACAGTAAAGGTTCCATCCTAACAAGTGGGGGCTCGTCCGGGATCGAAGATGGACAACCTGGAGGTGCCAGATGAACTGATAGCCCGCCTTTTGAGACAAACCGACGGATCCGTGATGCAGCGGGAGCGAGCTTCTGTTCAAGTGCGCCAACTGCTACTGACTGCTGCAGTGCCCCCAGCCAACGAACCCGAGGTGAGCGCGGCTGCAGTCCACCCGTCTGGCGGCCCTCTGCCGAGAATTGCGGCGCAGTTGCCGAAGTTCACAGGCTTCAGTGATCGACAGTCGCCCGAAGAATTTATCAAGAGGCTAGAAAACTTTTGCTTGATTACGGGAGTCACCACTGAAAACCGTCTCAGCCAGGTCGTTCCGGCTGCACTGGATGGGAGCGCCAAATTATGGTGGCGTTTTATCGGTAACTTCGGCAGTTGGGATGATTTCAAGACGGCGTTTCGTGCCGAGTTTGCCTCAATCGACGCCAAGCGACGTCTAAAGGACGAGTTGAGACACCGCACTCAACACCCCGAGGAGAACCTCAAGGAATTCATTTACACCATCGCCGAATTTTACGAAAGAATCGGGGAAGAGGTGCCCGACTCAGAAAAGGTCGACCGCGTGCATAATAATTATAAACTTATAAATAAAATAACACTGAATAAACAGAGCAAGGTTATAACAGTTGGAATTGCAAATCACTTTTGAGAATAAGTGAAATGCAGTACTAAATACAATAATATGAGAGACAAAATGGCAATTATCAAAAAGAGAGATACACAATGACGTCATGACAGCAATGTATGACTAAAAGGACTGAAGAAATATGCGAAGTTTCTGCTTAAACACGTGAATTGATGGTGATTGCTTGATGGCTAAAGGTAATGAATTCCACACAGCCGTGGCTGAGAAGTTGGTGGTAAATTTACCATAGTTAGTCCTAGGCTTAGGCAATAACAAGTTATGATGAAATGCGAATCGAGTTATCTTATGCTGTGGAAACTGATTATCGTTAAGAAGTGTTAGAGCGAGTTTGCCGATCACGAAACTATACACAAGTCACCCGAGGGTATGTTTATTTAAATTGCTAACAGATAAAATATTAAAAGCACGGAAAAACCAAGAAATATCAGATGAAAAGTGACTAAAGGTGATGATACGAAATGCTTGATTTTGGACGTGCTGCAATGGAGACAAATGTGTGCGATAAGTATTTCCCCACGAAGATATGCAGTAGTTAAGATGACTATGTATAAATGCGTAGTAGAGGGAAATGAGCGTATCGATGTGGAAAAAGGCGCGTACTTTGATTAATGCTCTTATGCCGAATGCTGCTTTTCTAGTTAAGGAGTTATTATGCCTGTGGAATTTTAAATGAGTGTCTAATTCAACTCCAAGAAATACAACGTGGCTTGCAGCCGTCAATACATTAGAGTTTAAGTGAACCGATGGAAGCCCTGGAACGATTTTGTTGGTTGATGTGAAAATGACAAAAGTAGATTTAGAAGCGTTAATGTTCAGTATATTACGCCGACACCAGTTAGCAACATTGACAGCGTCAGCGTTAATTTTGAGTAACAATGAGTCAAGGCTGTTATCGGAAGTAAAGATGGTAGTATCGTCAGCGTATAGTAAACAGTCAGAAAAATTAATGCACTGAGGAAGGTCGTTAATATATATTAGGAACAACAGAGGTCCAAGAATGGAGCCCTGGGGGACGCCAATATTAGTAGTTCTAAAGTGGGAATCGGCATCAGAAATATAGACGACCTGTTGTCTGTCCTGTAAATAGTTGCTAATTAATGCTGGTGTGGGACCAGTTATACCAATAGCGTCTAGTTTTGCAAAAAGTATATTATAGTTAATTGAATCAAAAGCTTTAGAAAGGTCAATAAATAAAGCACCAGCAAATTTACCGCAGTCTATGGCTCTTTTAATATCATCAGTTAAGGAAATTAGTGCCAGGTCAGTTGAAAAACCAGCCCTAAAACCAAACTGACGGGGCGACAGGACGTTAAATTTTGAGAGGTAGCATGTGAGACGTATAACAACTAGTTTTTCAATAATTTTGCTAAAGAACGAAAGAATTGCAATCGGACGATAGTTAGTTAGTTACAAGGCGCGTATCACCCTTCTTAAAAACAGGTATTAGCTTAGCTACTTTCAATACGCTAGGAAAAACGCCAGTTTTAAATACGAGATTTATAATGTAGGAAAGAACGTCACAGATTAAATGAGCTATTAGTTTAATATGAAAAGAATAAAAGCTGTCAAGACCAGCACTTGTTATTTTTAGGTTATGAATGACAGTGCGGACTTCAACAGGAGATACGGGAAAAAGAAAGAAGCTATGAGGTAAGCGCTGATAATGGTGGTCGTGATGAATAAAAGGCTGAGGATGATCAGTGAAAAATGAGTCGCTAAAAGCGTTCGCAATGTCAGATAAGTAATTGTAGGTAACGTTGCCAAATTGAACAGAATTTATGGGGGCAGTCGTGGTCGTCCTGTTCATGAACGAGTTTAGTATTCTCCATTGCTTTTTGACGTCGTTACCAGCACGGTGAACTTCATTCTCGTAAAACCTTCGTTTAGCATCTTTAAGCAGCCTAGCTAGTGTATTACTATAATTTCGAAAACGAATCTTTAGCGGTAAATGAAAGGGTTGTCTTTTAGCCTTTTAATATAGGTTATCTTTTTTTCGCAGGCACCTCAGCAGACTAAATGTCATCCAAGGGCTGTAAGGAGTCAACGTATTCTTTTTACATGTGGTTATTGAAGAAGAAGCAGCCAGAGCCCTGGTAATAATGGCACAGAGCTCGTCAAAGGCAACCTCAGGATGAGTGACGTTAGTTACTGCTGACCAATCAGAGTTAGATATAAGCTCAACAAACAATGAAGTGTTTACTTTCTTCCTTGTTAGGCATACGTCGTTCTCATGGGAAACAAAATTCAATCGCACAAACACAGGGTAATGATTTGTGATAGAAACTTCGATAACGCCAGCGTCCGGAGATGTTAATAGATTAGACAGTGCGTGGTCAATTAGTGAAGCCTGTCCGCTGGCAGTGCACCTAGTTGGAGTGGTTATGAGACATTCGTAACCGTTGCCATTTAGACAGTTAATGTATTCATTATAACAAGAAGGGTTAGTATCGATTAGGTTAATATTAATGTCTCCCAAGATGATGACGTTTTTGCGTTCGATTGATAGTCTATGGAGCACTTCGCTAAGCGCTAAACAAAATTCACTAGTGGAGGATGATGGTGAGCGATAAATGCATCCAACAATAATGTTTTTTCCGTCTTGCGAAAAGAATGATTCATGGAATTCTGCCCAGACAGATTCACAGCGAGGCAGGTTAGGCGTTGGGTCATGTCGACGATGATAATGAAAACTAGAAGAGATAAATATAGCAGCCCCACCATGACTACTTCCAGCGCGATGGCAATATTCGGCTGAGTAAGAAGGAAAATCGTACAAGTTTTTATCGGATATACTCAGCCAAATTTCGGTAAGGCAAATAATAGAGAACTGATGCCGAACAGAAGATAAAAAGTTAGTAATGTCATCGGTGTGCTTGCGCAAGCTGCGCGCGTTAAAATGAATCAGCGATCTGCAAGGTAAAGAAAAGTAATGTTCTAGTTCAGAAGGTGAGACGAGCGATGCCATTATGAAAGTTTAAGAATAATTCAAGTGAAAATCGAAAGGTCTGAATCGGACGCTACGCGAAAGACGCGGCTCGCAGTATTTTGGCGAGCTTTGATATGGCAGTTATCAGTCCAAAGGAAGAGCCAACCTTTTTCCTTCTTCAGTGTTAGTGCCTTGAGAAATAACCGCTTGTTTTCAGGAGACAAATGTTCGTTAACGAAGACAGACTGCATATGTTGCCCCGAGAAACCCAGTGCGCGTGTGTTCAAACGCGCCTTGCGTGCTTTCTTGACAAACTCATTCTTTTTATCGCGGGAACAAAAGCGGGCGATGATGTTCTGGTGGCCATTTTTAGTTGGTACACGATGAACTATGTCTAGATCGGTGGGTGAGACGGGGCAGTCGACCTTTTCCCCAATTGCGGCCATTACGGCGACGCAATCCTCGCCTTGGGTGCAAGGTACCCCCTTGATTTCGACGTTGTTCAGTCGGGAGTATTGTTCGAGCTCTGCAACTCTTTTCCTCAGTGCCTCATTTTCGATTTTCAGGGCTTTGTTTGAGGTGAATAGTTCCATCTGTTGGCTACGCGCTTTCTCAACAACATCATTCAGAAGTTGAAGACTACCTGCCATTTCAGAAACCTCTTTTCTCATGCCACCGACATCTAGACCCGCATCCTGAAGCTTAACTTGCACTTTCACAACCAGCTGTTCAACAAGCTTATTCAGATTATCACTAAACCGTGCCTCCAAATCTTCAATTTTCTTATTCAACTCGACACAAGTAGGCATCGTAAACACTCAAAAGATACAGGGGACACGGCAAACAAGAACAGTAAAATAGAACTCGCAGCAGCAGCGGTGAAGGAAAAACACTTGTCAACGTGAATAGCTACGTAGATATGACAATTCACTAACCTGTTGATAGTAGAAAACACACTTAGCAATGTGCTCTTGACCACAACCGCTGCTGCTATGAGGCCGGTGTTCCTCGAATGTTGATATATAAGGCGATGGCAGAAGCCCACGCACGCGCAGACGTGATGGCTCGGATGCGTCGGGACGAGCTGCCTCGTAGCGTTGGAGAGCGGCTCAGGCACGTGGTCGAAAAAGGGCGCGTACCGAAGATGACCACGGAGGCCGAGAACGATGAAACCTGGTGATAGTAGAAAACACACTTAGCAACGTGCTCTTGACCACAACCGCTGCTGCTATGAAGTCGGTGTTCCTCGAATGTTGATTTATAAGGCGATGGCAGAAGCCCACGCACGCGCAGACGTGATGGCTCGGATGCGTCGGGACGAGCTGCCTCGTAGCGCTGGAGAGCGGCTCAGGCACGCGGTCGAAAAAGGGCGCGTACCGAAGATGACCACGCAGGCCGAGAACGATGAAACCTGGTGAAAGTAGAAAACACACTTAGCAATGTGCTCTTGACCACAACCACTGCTGCTATGAAGCCGGTGTTCCTCGAATGTTGATTTATAAGGCGATGGCAGAAGCCCACGCACGCGACGACGTGATGGCTCGGATGCGTCGGGACGAGCTGCCTCGTAGCGCTGGAGAGCGGCTCAGGCACGCGGTCGAAAAAGGGCGCGTACCGAAGATGACCACGCAGGCCGAGAACGATGAAACCTGGTGATAGTAGAAAACACACTTAGCGATGTGCTCTTGACCACAACCGCTGCTGCTATGAAGCCGGTGTTCCTCGAATGTTGATTTATAAGGCGATGGCAGAAGCCCACGCACGCGCAGACGTGATGGCTCGGATGCGTCGGGACGAGCTGCCTCGTAGTGCTGGAGAGCGGCTCAGGCACGTGGACGAAAAAGGGCGCCTACCGAAGATGACCACGCAGGCCGAGAACGATGAAACCTGGTGATAGTAGAAAACACACTTAGCAATGTGCTCTTGACCACAACTGCTGCTGCTATGAAGCCGGTGTTCCTCGAATGTTGATTTATAAGGCGATGGCAGAAGCCCACGCACGCGCAGACGTGATGGCTCGGATGCGTCGGGACGAGCTGCCTCGTAGTGCTGGAGAGCGGCTCAGGCACGTGGACGAAAAAGGGCGCGTACCGAAGATGACCACGCAGGCCGAGAACGATGAAACCTGGTGATAGTAGAAAACACACTTAGCAATGTGCCCTTGACCACAACCGCTGCTGCTATGAAGCCGGTGTTCCTCGAATGTTGATTTATAAGGCGATGGCAGAAGCCCACGCACGCGCAGACGTGATGGCTCGGATGCGTCGGGACGAGCTGCCTCGTAGCGCTGGAGAGCGGCTCAGGCACGTGGTCGAAAAAGGGCGCGTACCGAAGATGACCACGCAGGTGGAGAATGATGAAACCTGGTGATAGTAGAAAACACACTTAGCAATGTGCTCTTGACCACAACTGCTGCTGCTATGAAGCCGGTGTTCCTCGAATGTTGATTTATAAGGCGATGGCAGAAGCCCACGCACGCGCAGACGTGATGGCTCGGATGCGTCGGGACAAGCTGCCTCGTAGTGCTGGAGAGCGGCTCAGGCACGTGGACGAAAAAGGGCGCGTACCGAAGATGACCACGCAGGCCGAGAACGATGAAACCTGGTGATAGTAGAAAACACACTTAGTAATGTGCTCTTGACCACAACCGCTGCTGCTATGAAGCCGGTGTTCCTCGAATGTTGATTTATAAGGCGATGGCAGAAGCCCACGCACGCGCAGACGTGATGGCTCGGATGCGTCGGGACGAGCTGCCTCGTAGCGCTGGAGAGCGGCTCAGGCACGTGGACGAAAAAGGGCGCGTACCGAAGATGACCACGCAGGCCGAGAACGATGAAACCTGGTGATAGTAGAAAACACACTTAGCAATGTGCTCTTGACCACAACCGCTGCCGCTATGAAGCCGGTGTTCCTCGAATGTTGATTTATAAGGCGATGGCAGAAGCCCACGCACGCGCAGACGTGATGGCTCGGATGCGTCGGGACGAGCTGCCTCGTAGCGCTGGAGAGCGGCTCAGGCACGTGGACGAAAAAGGGCGCGTACCGAAGATGACCACGCAGGCCGAGAACAATGAAACCTGGTGATAGTAGAAAACACAGTTAGCAATGTGCTCTTGACCACAACCGCTGCTGCTATGAAGCCGGTGTTCCTCGAATGTTGATTTATAAGGCGATGGCAGAAGCCCACGCACGCGCAGACGTGATGGCTCGGATGCGTCGGGACGAGCTGCCTCGTAGCGCTGGAGAGCGGCTCAGGCACGTGGACGAAAAAGGGCGCGTACCGAAGATGACCACGCAGGCCGAGAACGATGAAACCTGGTGATAGTAGAAAACACACTTAGCAATGTGCTCTTGACCACAACCGCTGCCGCTATTAAGCCGGTGTTCCTCGAATGTTGATTTATAAAGCGATGGCAGAAGCCCACGCACGCGCAGACGTGATGGCTCGGATGCGTCGGGACGAGCTGCCTCGTAGCGCTGAAGAGCGGCTCAGGCAAGTGGACGAAAAAGGGCGCGTACCGAAGATGATTACGCAGGCCGAGAACGATGAAACCTGGTGATAGCAGAAAACACACTTAGCAATGTGCTCTTGACCACAACCGCTGCCGCTATGAAGCCGGTGTTCCTCGAATGTTGATTTATAAAGCGATGGCAGAAGCCCACGCACGCGCAGACGTGATGGCTCGGATGCGTCGGGACGAGCTGCCTCGTAGCGCTGGAGAGCGGCTCAGGCACGCGGTCGAAAAAGGGCGCGTACCGAAGATGACCACGCAGGCCGAGAACGATGAAACCTGGTGATAGTAGAAAACACAGTTAGCAATGTGCTCTTGACCACAACCGCTGCTGCTATGAAGCCGGTGTTCCTCGAATGTTGATTTATAAAGCGATGGCAGAAGCCCACGCACGCGCAGACGTGATGGCTCGGATGCGTCGGGACGAGCTGCCTCGTAGCGCTGAAGAGCGGCTCAGGCACGTGGACGAAAAAGGGCGCGTACCGAAGATGACCACGCAGGCCGAGAACGATGAAACCTGGTGATAGCAGAAAACACACTTAGCAATGTGCTCTTGACCACAACCGCTGCCGCTATGAAGCCGGTGTTCCTCGAATGTTGATTTATAAAGCGATGGCAGAAGCCCACGCACGCGCAGACGTGATGGCTCGGATGCGTCGGGACGAGCTGCCTCGTAGCGCTGGAGAGCGGCTCAGGCACGCGGTCGAAAAAGGGCGCGTACCGAAGATGACCACGCAGGCCGAAAACGATGAAACCTGGTGATAGTAGAAAACACAGTTAGCAATGTGCTCTTGACCACAACCGCTGCTGCTATGAAGCCGGTGTTCCTCGAATGTTGATTTATAAAGCGATGGCAGAAGCCCACGCACGCGCAGACGTGATGGCTCGGATGCGTCGGGACGAGCTGCCTCGTAGTGCTGGAGAGCGGCTCAGGCACGTGGACGAAAAAGGGCGCGTACCGAAGATGACCACGCAGGCCGAGAACGATGAAACCTGGTGATAGCAGACAACACACTTAGCAATGTGCTCTAGACCACAACCGCTGCCGCTATGAAGCCGGTGTTCCTCGAATGTTGATTTATAAAGCGATGGCAGAAGCCCACGCACGCGCAGACGTGATGGCTCGGATGCGTCGGGACGAGCTGCCTCGTAGCGCTGGAGAGCGGCTCAGGCACGTGGACGAAAAAGGGCGCGTACCGAAGATGACCACGCAGGCCGAGAACGATGAAACCTGGTGATAGTAGAAAACACACTGGTCAAGAGCAATGTGCTCTTGACCACAACCGCTGCTGCTATGAAGCCGGTGTTCCTCGAATGTTGATTTATAAAGCGATGGCAGAAGCCCACGCACGCGCAGACGTGATGGCTCGGATGCGTCGGGACGAGCTGCCTCGTAGTGCTGGAGAGCGGCTCAGGCACGTGGACGAAAAAGGGCGCGTACCGAAGATGACCACGCAGGCCGAGATCGATGAAACCTGGTGATAGTAGAAAACACACTTAGCAATGTGCTCTTGACCACAACCGCTGCTGCTATGAAGCCGGTGTTCCTCGAATTTGATTTATAAGGCGATGGCTGAAACCCACGCACGCGCAGACGTGATGGCTCGGATGCGTCGGGACGAGCTGCCTCGTAGCGCTGGAGAGCGGCTCAGGCACGTGGACGAAAAAGGGCGCGTACCGAAGATGACCACGCAGGCCGAGAACGATGAAACCTGGTGATAGTAGAAAACACACTTAGCAATGTGCTCTTGACCACAACCGCTGCTGCTATGAAGCCGGTGTTCCTCGAATGTTGATTTATAAAGCGATGGCAGAAGCCCACGCACGCGCAGACGTGATGGCTGGGATGCGTCGGGACGAGCTGCCTCGTAGCGCTGGAGAGCGGCTCAGGCACGTGGACGAAAAAGGGCGCGTACCGAAGATGACCACGCAGGCCGAGAACGATGAAACCTGGTGATAGTAGAAAACACACTTAGCAATGTGCTCTTGACCACAACCGCTGCTGCTATGAAGCCGGTGTTCCTCGAATGTTGATTTATAAAGCGATGGCAGAAGCCCACGCACGCGCAGACGTGATGGCTCGGATGCGTCGGGACGAGCTGCCTCGTAGTGCTGGAGAGCGGCTCAGGCACGTGGACGAAAAAGGGCGCGTACCGAAGATGACCACGCAGGCCGAGAACGATGAAACCTGGTGATAGTAGAAAACACACTTAGCAATGTGCTCTTGACCACAACCGCTGCTGCTATGAAGCCGGTGTTCCTCGAAAGTTGATTTATAAGGCGATGGCTGAAACCCA